GGTTCCTCTGTCCATGGAATTCTCCAGGCAAGAATACTAGAGTGGGTAGCCTTTCCCTTCTCCAAGGGATCTTCCACACCCAGGGATCCAACCTGGGTCTCCTGCATTGAAGACAGATTCTATACAGTCTGACTCACCAGGGAAGCCCATACACACACACACACACACACATACACACACACATATATATATGTGTAATTTATTTATTGGCTATGCTGGGTCTTCGTTGCTTTTCCCTAGTTGCCATGCGGGAGGCTACTCTCCTGTTGCAGTAGGCAGGTTTCTCATAGCACTGGCTTGTCTTGTTGCAGAGCACAGGCTCTCAGCCCATGGGCTCCAGCAGCTGCGGATCGTGCAGTCAGCAGTTGTGGCCCTCGGGCTCTAGAGCACAGGCTCAGTAGTTGCGGCGCACAGGCTTAGTTGCTCTGTGGCATGTGGGATCTTCCCAGACCCGAACCCGTGTCTCCTGCATTGACAGGCGGATTCTTTACCACTAAGCCACCAGGGAAACCCCCTCAATATCTTTTTTTAATGTTTCTTTTCTGCTTAAATCAACCTCAGTAAGTTTCTGCTGCTTACCATTAAGACTGTGCACAGATGGAGAAATTGGAAACAGAGGTGGTTATAAGAAACAGAGCTCGAGGTAATGAGGGAAATCTGGGTTTGGTTATCAGGCTGAGTTGGGGCAAAAGCAGATAACAGTGCAGGTAAGAATGGGACTCTGTCTGGTCTAACACATGGTGGCAGAATGGTTCATGTGACCTGTGGCCCTCCAAATGAAGCGTCCATTCACGACAGGCTTCTGGGGGACACGCAACTCCTGCCAAACAATGGTAGGAAGGCCACAGGGAAGTACAGATCTAAGGGTAGGGCTCACATATGTACATTCTTGGCCCAAAGCAGAGTCAGAAAAACATGGGACTTGTCTGACTGTTACTAAACTCTTATTACTTGCAGATAAGTAAAGAAGCCAACCAACAGCCAGATTCATAGTTGGATCCTAAATGCTAAAGAACTACAGTGAATTCACAGCTTCAGTAGGTATTTTTTGCAGAATTTAAAGCATAGATTAGCAAAGAGTAAAAGCCTAGGGGTTGAAATAGGGACATGGGGAGGATCCAGTAGGATCCTCTGGCTCCCCCTCAACCTTCCACAAAGATCCACACCAGGGAGAGGAGTGTTAATACATATCTGTGGACCGAACTAAATTTAGTTGGCACAGGAGAGTCTGGGTTCACTGAGTTAACTCAGGCAGCTGGGAACAGTGTCAGTTATTTATTTTAGTCAACTGAAGTCTGTACTCACTAACAGTACCTGCTGAATGAGATTTTGATATTCAGATTTGGTAGATATAGTTGAAGGAATAGATCCAGAGGCTTCAAGTTTAGAGGAAGAGGACTGCTATTAATGCAAGCAGATTTATCATAAGTGAAATGTATTTCCTCAGATGTACCAAAGAAGATCCCAAGAAAAGTGTCCCTTCATCAACGCACTGAGAAATACATGGGTTAAGTGAGGGCCAACAGTATCTGTGGTCTTCCCAGATGGCACAGTGGTAAAGAATTTGCCTGCCAATTAGGAGACATGAGTTCAGTTCCTAGGTTGGGAAGATTCCCTGGAGAAGGAAATGGCAACCCACTCCAGTATTCTTGTCTGGGAAATCCCATGAACAGAGGAGCCTGGCGGGCTACAGTCCACAGGATCACAAAAGAGTCAGACACAACTATGCATGCATGTACTAGACTAGAATGTACCTGTATGGCACTAGGATTGCCATTTTCTGTAGGCTGGGTTGATGGTGGTTCTAGAAAACACCCACTCCTGGAGACCTAGAACATCACTCTAGTCCAGCAGTCCCCAACGTTTTTTACACCAGGGACCAGTTTAGTGGAAGACAATTTTTCCATGGACCAGGAGGTGGGAGGATGATTTGGGGATGATTCAAGCACACTACCTTTATTGTGCACTTTATTTCTATTATAATTAGTTCAGTTCTACCTCACATCATCAGGCCTTAGACCCTGGAGGCTGGGGACCCCTGCAGTAGTCAGAAAGGGATATTTCAGAGAGAGAGGTAGGAAATAAGAGTTCTGACCAAAATCCTCTCCCAGGAGATTCAGTAAAACCTTATCCTTCCCTGCCCGCATCCCTACATTTTATTAAAAGTGTCATCTCCACAATTCCTAGACTCCTCACTTTGGTTCTTCCATAGGATAGGAGCAAAGGCTACTGGGTCAATGAATTGGATGGAAATCCCTGAAACATAGTGATGAGCCCTTGTTGGAGTTGTTGCTGTTTAGTCCCTCAGTCATGTCTGACTCTTTTGCCACCCCATGGATTGTAGCCTGCCAGGCTCCTACTGACTGCCAGTGGCAAACAGTAAATCCCAAACCGTGCCTCATCTCTGGGAGAAGTGCAGAGATAAGTTCTTTGACCAGAGATTAGGGGGTCATCAAGTACATACGTCAGCCAGAGCCAGTGTCCATTGCTTCTGACTAAGGATGCTCATGGGTAAAGGAGTTAACCGAAAGTGGTTACAAGCAACAGACTCAGGGTGATGCTGAGGATAGACAGCTTTTAGAGAATGACCGATGGTGGATTATCACAAGGTTAATAAAGTGGTTGTTCTAATTGCCAACACTCCATAGAGGGAGAAGTGGTCTCCCCCTACATAAATAAGTCAACAGAGCCTCTGGTACTTTCTATGCAGGTAATAATCTAAAAAAAACAATGCTTTTTCTTTACTTCAATCAGTAGAGACATCTGAAATTTGGCTTTGCCTGGTGGGCCAGCAATACATTTCATTACCTTGCTACAAGCCAAAGGGTTATCGATTATCTTTCATTCCCACTGGTCTACTCCTCTGAGAACACCATAGTAACACAACTTAGAGAGCAGTAAAGAGCAGGTGCCAAGATATCTGGGTAAGTTATAAAAGCCAAAGTTATCAGATACACCCCATGAAAATGAAGGCCATATCAGGAAAGTTTCTAGTGGTCTGGGAGGAATGCAGCCTGTCTTCTCGAAGTGGAGAACTGATTGTTGTCCCTTGTAGCCCCTGAGAAAGCAGCACAACACCTTGGGAACTTCTCTGGAGTCTAGAGGTAACATCTGGTAGTGTGGTTCCCCTCATGGACCATGTCATTTGAAAGGCTACTAGCGGTAAGCAGGGCTCACCCATTCTCCACCTGGACCAGCGGCAGACACAGCCCTGCCCGTGAGCCTTGTGACGGCAGATGCAGTGGTCCCAGTATGTCTGCAGTAGAGGGGGATACTGTGGGAGATATCGGCCAGGCGCCACAGAGCATCACGGCAGAGGCCTCTGGTGTGAGAAGCAGAGCCACGGCCGTTTGGCAGGAATGGTTTTTCTTCTGAGAAACCGGCGTTGCTTCTGCACTCTTATGGGTGTTGAAAAATCCAGCCTAAGACACCAGGTAAACCTGAATGGCACATCATGAAATGGGTTTCATCTCATCCTCCAGGCCATAAAATCAGCTATTCCCAGACGCACCAATAATTCAGGTTGAACGGATCCCAGAGGCACCAGAAAATTGCGTGAGCAGATGGCTCAGGCTCCCGGTCTGAATCCTCCTCCAATATTACAGCCCTTCCTTCAACATACACCTGGGCCTCGCGAGCTTTCTCCTGACGACATGCTGGTGTCAGCCAGAAATAGACCGCCGAAGAGTTACAACTGATTCAGGGGTAGCCCAGAAGGATGGCTAAGAAATCTTCCCAATCACTGTAACTTTGACTTTTTCCATTTTCTACTTCACCTGGAAGGAGACAGAAGCTTCGGCCAGTCTCTACAGGCAGTGGTTCATTGTTTGGCCATATGGTTTAGCCATAGGGTAAGGAATGGGCTTCCCTGGTGGCAGAGACAGTAAAAAAATCTGCCTGAAATGTGGGATACCTGAGTTTGATCCCTGGGTCAGGAAGATCCCCTGGAGGAGGGAATGGCAACCCACTCCAGTATCCTTGCCTGAAGGATCCCATGGACAGAAGAGCCTGGCAGGCTACAGTCCATGGGCTTGCAAAGCGTTAGACATGACTGAGCAACTCACAGTTTTAAGGAAATAGAAAAGAGTAAAATTTGAGAGTTGGTGACCAAATTAGGGAAAGACTGGATTGGCAAGAACAGGCACAGAGAGTACCAGGTAAGTGCTCACTGGAAGTCCCTCATGATGGATGAAGCTTTCTTTACTAAGGTGGATGCGATGACCTATTTTCTGGATAAGTCAACAGCTATGCTCACTCAACAGGTTCATGAAGTAAGTGGCCATGAAGGGTGCACAGGAAGCTAAGCATGGGCTCAAAAACACAGGGCATGTCCTCACCTGGCTGAGTAATCAGACTGTCAGCAGTACTGATTAACTCTGAGTGTGAATACAATGCCATTCCCAGGAGGAGCAGCCAGCCTCCTGGTAGCTGGTTAATTACATTGGATCTTTTCCATAATCAAAGAGGTAGCAATTCATCCTTACTGGAATAAACACTTATTGTGGATTTGGATTGCAAATGCTCTTCTTCCTACCACACTTCTTCTATGACCCACACCATCTTATGGACGCCTTATTGATCATGATGGTCTGCACAGTCATATAGAATTACTTCTTACCAAAGCGCATACTTCTGAGCAAAAGACAAGACAATGAGCTAGTGTCCATGAAAGTGAAAGGGAAAGTGTTAGTCGCTCAGTCATGTCCAACTCTTTGCAACCAAATAGAGCCCACCAGGTTCCTCTGTCATGGAATTCTCCAGGCAAGAATACTAGAGTGGATTGCCATTCCCTTCTCCAGGGGATCTTCCGGACACAGGGATCGAACCCTGGTCTCCTACATTGCAGGCAAATTCTTCACCATCTGAGCCATGAGCCTCACCAATTTTACTGTGTCGCCCACTTCTCAGGAGCAGCTGCCCTCACAGAAGAATCTACTGAAGACTTAGTTCTAGCAACAGGACAAGTAGAAGAAAGAAATCTTGCTCTTAAATTGAACTAAATGACCTTGCCAGTAAGCAACCATTTTTGACCTACAAATATGGTGAATTCATAACATTCAACCTAATGAGTTATGGTGTATGGAATGTGCTGAGCCAGCAATCACCACGTGGTGCCCCCACCTGTGAAGGGTGGACATGAGAATGGGAAGACCTGATCACTGGAAACCATCCTGTTTTCTGATTCCACAGTACTGGGCTTTGCTTAGAGACCTTAACAAGATGAGTACACTTCCTCCAGGTGAGGCAGAAGTGGTTCCACTCTACTCAAAGCTGAGACTTATACCTGGATTATGACCCTCTTCCATTGGGTGAAGAGGCCAAAAAAGAAAAAAAAAATAGTGTGTGTGTATTTGGTGATGGGGCTGTTACGGATTTGGGCTGGAGTAATTAATCTGCTTAGAAAGAGGAAATGGAGTTATTGCTCTACGCAGGAGAGGTGGGTTCCAGGAAGCTCCCTGGGGAACCTCAAAGGATGCAATGTTCTTGGAAACTGGAGTTGTGAATTTTGATAAATTTTCTCTTTCTACTTAAATGAGACAGAATTGGTTGTTAGAAGTTGTAACTAAGAACTCTGCCACACTGGGCCAGACCTCAGGTTCATAACTGTGAAATGGAGGTGAGAAGATTGTCCACCGTAGGGCAGTGGTTAGGGACACACACTCATGATTTATTAATTAAGTCCTTGCCCTGTCACTTTCCAGCTATGGCCTCTTCAGCACGTTTTTGATGTTACTGACCTGTTTTCTCATCTATAAAATAGAAATGACAATCAAAGCACCCCCATATCATAGGGCTTTTGTAGGAATTAAATGAGATAATCTGTACAAAATGTATAAGCAAGGATTCATGATGTTAGCTATCGTTACCTACATCTATTATTGATGTGAATCTCAAAGAAAATTATCTAAAATTATACAGTGTTAGTTATTATTTGGGCTATATCTGCCCTTTCCTTTTCCCTCTATGTCATCCTTAGTGAATGCCTACATAAAGGTGGAAGGCAGGCCATTTCCTGTGCTGCTGGAAGGAATCCTGGGGTGAGAGTTAGTGGACCTGAGTACTGGTACTTGCCTCTCACTGTGTGGGCTGGAGACACTCAATTTCCTCATCAGTAACTTGAGAGGCTTGGGCTTCTCCAACAAGCTCAGATATAAGGGGAAGGGCTACAGGCTACATTTTCTTAGACCCCCTGTCTCTGGGGTATGTTCTGCAATGGAGTGTTGGATAGGTGTTGCATAAAATAGAAATTTATTCACGTTCCAATTTATCCCAGCACCAGACCTAATGACAGTTCCCCTCAAATATTTCAGTCAAAGAAATCAGAATTTTCGTATCAGCTAAGACATAGCAAATACTTAGAACAACATTGGGACAGCCTTGCAAGTATAAACTAGGATACCACACACTTCCTAGATGTGTGGAGTGAAAAAAAAAAAAAAAGTTTCAAGTTATTTGTTCCCTATAAAAAATAAAATGTGAAACTGACTCAGAAAAAATGACCCAGCCTTTATAGAACATGTTAGATTTGAGTAGTTTACTGACTATATTAAACAAATAACTTGAAGAGAAAGGAAAAGATTTAGTCATCCCCGGAATGTTGAAAGAGGGATAATTAATGGGGACATAATGTCATTACTGTAAATGTTTCAGCTTTAATTTTGGAAGTTTTCTGAATTTTATTCCTCTCATTATATTTCTTAACTAAATTTTAAAAAGTGTTGACTAAACAAAAAATTCTAAAGAGAAAGGCCCAGCAGGGAGGTTATATTTCATGATTTGGGGTAATTACATCTTTGTAAATTACAGCTCTTTCATTCTCGTCTTGTTCAGAGGTATAGTGAGATGACAGTAAGAGAGTGTCATTAAGTATATTTCAACTGTTTTTAGGAAGAGGTCTTGCACAGGACTCCCTAATTTAGGCCACAAAGCTTGCATAGGATCCTGGGGGGGAATATGTCCTAAAGCGAATAATTGGCATTGTTGGCAGATGATAGAATTTTTCACCTGGGAGGGGGTGGGGAACCAATCGATAACAAACCATTAGAACTCATCAAGAGTTTAGCCAGGTCGTCAATGTGATCAACCTACTAAATGGCAGAAAATAACTAACTAGAAATTTTAATGACGAATAAAAGCCTTCACTCACAATAGCAACAAAAGCTGCGAAGTGTCTTCGAATCCTGAAGAATCCCGAAATGCTTTGTGAACAAGACAAAATTTGAGGTGGAACATAGAAGGTGAATTGAAAAAAAATAGAGAAATAGTTCATGTTTTCAGATAGATGATTTAATAGTTGTGTCAGTGTCTCTAAATTAACCTATAATTGCAATGGAATCATAATCATGATTAGAAACTGCATTTTTGAGGAACTTATATTAACATGTATATGGAAGAATAAAACATCTAGATCCATCTTGAAAATAGTACAGAGAGGATTTTTCACACTAAATAATAAAGTGTATCATAAGCCACAGTAAGAAGAAATATGAGACCAGTAGAAGAACAAAGAAGTTAATGGAATATTACACACACACACATACACAGTTAATATATGATCATAGTGATACTGGCTTCCCAGGTAGCTCAGTGGTAAAGAATCTACCTGCCAATGCAGGAGATGCAAGAGATGCAAGTTAGATCCCTGTGTTGGGGAGATCCCCTGGAGAAGGGAATAGCATCCCATTCCAGTATAATACCTGTCCTGGAGAATTCCATGGACAGAGGAGCCTGATGGGCTACAGTCCATGGGGTTGCAAAGAGTTGGACACGACTAAGTGACTAACATTTTCACGTTGACATATGGCAGAAACCAACACTGTATAATATCCTCCAAATACAAATAAATTTTGTAAAAAAAAAGAAAAAAAATCATAGCAATATCTCTTTGGATCTGTCTCTTAGAGCAATGGAAATTAAAAAAAAAAAAAAGAGGTAGGCAGGAGGGTCAAAGTGAAAGAAAGAGATGTGAGGACAAAAGAAGAGGCTAGAGGGATGTGCTGTGAAGACAGAGGAAGGACCACAGCCAAAGAAGATAAGAAATCACTAAATCTGAAAATAAAGACAGGAAGCAGGGTCTCCCCTGGAGCTTCCCGAAGGAACCAGTCTGGCCAACACCTTGACTTTGGCCCAGTGAAACTGACTTCAGGCTTCTGACCTCCAGAACCATAAGAGAATACATTTGTGTATTCTCTTCTGTCAGCTTTTAGATGTGTGTAACAGTGGTATTGGAAAAGACTCCTGAGAGTCCCTTGATCTGCAAGGAGATCGAACCAGTCCATCCTAAAGGACATCAGTCCTGGGTTTTCATTGGAAGGACTGATGTTGAAGCTGAAACTCCAATACTTTGGCCACCTGATGTGAAGAGCTGACTCATTTGAAAAGACCCTGATGCTGGGAAAGATTGAGGGCAGGAGGAGTAGGGACGACAGAGGATGAGATGGTTGGATGGCATCACTGACTTGATGGACATGAGTTTGAGCAAGCTCAGGGAGTTGGTGATGGACAGGGAAGCCTGGCGCAGTCCATGGGGTCACAAAGAGTCAGACACGACTGAGTAACTGAACTGAACTGAACTGACAAGAGAACTAGAATAGCTAAAACAACTTTGAAAAAGAAGAATAAAGTTGGAAGACTTAGATTACTTGACTGCAGGACTTATTATAGAGCTATAGTAATCAAGACAGTCTGGTTTTGGCATCAAGAAAGAAAAGTAGATTAATGGGACAGAATACAGAGATCACAAACAACCCCAAAAGTACGACCCATAAGAAAACAAATTGATAAACTGAACTTCATCCAAACTAAAAACTTCTGCTTTTCCAAAGGCTCTATTAAGAGAATGATAGAAAGCTGTAGACCAGGAGAACATATGAATTATATAGTAAGTGATAAAGCACTTGTATCCAGATTATAAAAATAACTTTTAGAATTCAATAATAAGAAAACAAACACCCTCCTTCACAAGTGGGCAAATTTGAACAGACACTACACCAAAGGAGATAAACACATGGCAAATAAGCATATAAAATGTCCTTAACTTCATTAGTCACTAGGGAAATCCAGATTAAAACCATAATGACTACACCACTACGTGCCTACTAGAATGTCTAAAATTAAGAGGACTGTCTACACCAAGTATTGGCAAGTGTGTGGAGGAACTGGAACACTTTTGGCAGGAAAACAAAAAACACTGCCAGTGCTTTGGAATGAAGTTTGGCAGCTTAATAAGAAGTTAAACTTATACCTACCACTTCCAGACTTCAATTTCTATGCATTTTTCCAAAAGTAATCCATCTGTCAATGCAGGACATGAAAGAAACACATGTTTGATCCCTGGGTCAAAAAGATCCCCTGGAGAAGGAAATGGCAACCTGCTGTAGTATTCTTCCCTGGGAAATCCCATGGACAGAGGAGCCTGGTAGGCTACAGTCCACGGGGTTGCGAAAGAATCAGATGTGACTAAGCACAGAACAGCACAACATAACAAAAGTGTATCTCCATTTAAAAAAAAAAAATCTTAAAGCAGCTTTGTTTGTAATAGCTGGAAACTGGAAAAAATCAAAGTGTCCATCAGCAGGTATCTAGGTACATAAATTGATATATCCATACAATGGAATACTACAGTACTCTACCACAGAAGGAAATGAACTATTGATACACACAACAGGAAGGAATCTCATAATTGTTATGCTTTATAAAAGAAGGCAGGCAAAGAAAAGAGTATATAGAATAAAATAAAATTCCATTTATGTAAAATTCTAGAAAACACAAACTAATCTATAGTGACAGAAAGCAGATCAGTAGTTTCCTGGAGATGACGGGGTGGGAAGGGGCAGGAGTGGCGGTTACAAGAAACCAGAGGAAACTTGGGGGATAATAAATGTGTCACTATCTTGATTTTGGTGATGGTTTCATAGGTGTCCAAACTTATTTAAACATGTCTGTTATAACATTTGCCAATGATATCTCAATAAAGCTGTTAACTATAAGATACACTCACAAAATTTAAAAAGTAGAATGAGATACATGACTATAATTTGCATAACTAAATATATGTGTGCACACAAAAGAACATTTTGTAAAAATAAACACACATATCTGTGATAAACACATTAGAAAGCATCTCCTAGGTGAGTGGGAGCTGAGAGACCAATACTGGTATAGAAGAGAATAAAAAAAAGCAATGAAAGAAGAGAGAGACTTTTAGAGACCAATGAAGATGAATGAGGAACACAATGAACTCAACCCTCTGCAGAAAAAAAATTTTTTCCTCATTATTTATTACAAAAAAACTTTCCTAGGACAAAATACATTTTTGTGTCAATTCAGAACAGGTATTTGGAATCTCAGAAATACTTTTGATGCAATAATTTTATTTCCAAAAGGAGACAAGTCCTATGTTAGTGCTTTTGGAGATAGACTTGTGGCTGTTGTGCGTCACATCTCTGAAAATCCTGCTAGAAATCCTGCCAGCAGCAAAATGCTGTCATTTCAAGAAGGCATAACTACCTTGACGCTCACAAAATTCCATCATGCCCTTTACACGGGCCCATTGCACAGATGTTTAAGTACCTTCAAGCTGTGTTTTCATATGTATAGCTAATAACTCGTAGAGGCTGGTTCCCTTTAAATAAAGCCACCAGTAACTAGAAAATGCGCTTGGCAGAGAGGATGCCCTATGTAAAACATCTTTTTTTTTTTTTTTTTAGTTTATTGCAAAGAAATGGGGTGGAGGAGGGTGGTTAGAAAATAATTAAAAGTATGTGCCTCCTTACAACGTGCTATCTTCACTAACTGAACTTCTAACCTGACATAAATACATTGCACACTGTAACCTGTTTCTCCTGATTATTAACCTTGAGCATGGCAACCTATAAATCATTCCAAAACAGCTGGCGCTCAGCATTGCCCCAAAGGTATATGATTACGATCGTTTTATATATATCTTGGTATGCAGACATGAAAAATTCATTGAAGAGGTTGGTATTGTAAGACTCATTGTAATGAATTTTCTCAAAAACATAGATCATGCTTAAAATAGGTGTCTGCTTATTATAATGCAGCCATTTATATCTTCTTGAATTACCTTGCCCATAGCTCAGCCATTTTCTTAAAGTCAAACACGATGATACCTAAACAGATTTACTGCAGTCACTTTGCACTGCTTAAAAGTAGAACTTTGCTTTTCCCCCCCTCCTTTCTATGTTAATGCCGACAGAATCCAAGGGTACAGATTTTTTAAAGGGAATTGTTTGGAAGGTCATTCCTTTAAAGGCACCCCATTTACTCGGGTTTGTCAGCCATGAACAAATAGAGTATAGAAACCCCCCAAATTGTTATGCTTTTCACAACTCACCAAGATGTTCCACTGCTCCTGTAGAATGGTTCATATCAAAATTTATTATAATAATAAAATGTTAGTGCTGAAAGGGTCCTGAAGTGTCACTGGGTCTTCACTGTGTAGATGAAGTAGTTCCAGAGGGTGTTGATCTCCTCAAGGTCACACGTCTGGGAAGGAGGAGCTTCCAGATTTGGAGCTGACTGTCAGGTTTGTGATAGAAACAAAATAATCATTCAGCTAGTACTCCCAAGTATAGGTTCAGTACTAAGTGCTAGACACATGCTAACCCACTGAATCCTCCCGGCAGGCTTGTGAAGTGGGTACTACCATCATCATAACCAACGTTACCATCATCATCACCACCATCATCACCAACACCTTCACCATCATCACCACTATCAAGTCTAAGCAAACAGGCCCATCAAGGTGGAGCAGCTTGCTGTGGGCATGGACTTGTAAACAGTCAAGTAGGACACCAGCAGACTCACTCCAACCCCAAACCATTGCTTTTTATGCTTTTTACTTCCCCATGATGAGTTCTTATTTTTTTCCTTTCCTGGTGTGGCTGGCCAGACTTGTAAACTGTTACTTTATGAATTCATAAGGCACACAGGGTGTTCGTTTGCTGGGGCCGCTGTAACAGAGTACCACAGGTTGGGTGGCTGAAACAACAAATTTATGCTCTCACCATTCTAAAGGCTAGAAGACCAAGATCAAGGTGTCTGCAGGGCTGGTTCCTTAGGAGGCCTCTTTCCTTGGCTTGTTTGTGGCCATTTTCTCTCTGAGTCTTCACCAGGCCTTCCCTTGGTCTGTCCCAATCTCCCCTTTCTATAAGGAACCAGCCACACTGGATTAGGGCCCACCCATATATCCTTATTTTCCCTTAAATCATCTCTCGAAATACCTGACTTAAAACAAATAGGCCTAATTCTTGTGGGTATATACAGTGTCATCCTTTACCGGGTGTGAGTTATTTAAACCAGCAAACCTTCGTCAGTGTATCCTTTGAAACCAGGCTCTGGAAAAGAAGAGCTGGTTCTGGCAGAGGACTTGTTCGCTTGCATTTGAGCCCCTCCTGGGAGCAGCAGCTGACCCCACAGTCCATGTGTATCCAGTGGGCCCGGAGCTGTGGCATTGGCCACCACTGCGTCCAGAGGCGCTACTGCTATTGGAGCCCAGTGTCTGGACTGAGCAGTGTGGCAGCAAATTACGTGGGAGACTTTGCACAACGAAGGTGGAAATCTCGTCTCCCCAAAAGGCAAGCAACTCACACACAGAGGCCTTTTTTTTTCCCCTGCTCAACTCACATTATTCTTCATAAGAATGGAAAGTGGACGGCAACTCTCTTGGGCATATTTCATTTTGTTCTGATCTTTTTAAAAAATAATTTTATTTATTTTTAGCTGTGCTGGGTCTTTGGTGCTGGTGGGCTTTTCTCTACTTGCGATGAACAGGGGCTACTCTCCAGTTGCAGGGCACGGGTTTCTCATTGAGGTAGCTTTTCTTGCTGCAGGGCACGGGTTTCTCTTTGAGGTAGCTTCTCTTGTTGCAGGGCACGGGTTCTAGGGCACACAGGCTTTCAGTAATTGGGGCACATGGGCTCAGTAGTTACAGCTCCCGGGCTCTAGAGCACAGGCTCAACAGTTGTGGCACACAGGTTGGCTGCTCCATGACGTGTAAGATCTTTCTGAATCAGGGATCGAACCCATGTCTCCTGCATTGGCAGGTGGATTCTTTACCCCTGAGCTACCAGGAAAGCCCTGCTTCTGATTTGGTTTTATACTGAAGGGCAAGTATGGTCCCAAGTTCAGGTCCTAGATGCCCTGGGGCAGAAGGGGCGGTGACTGTGGGTGTTATCTGCCAGGTGGAACCTGGGGTAGCCTGGCAGGTGTGCCATTCAGGCCTGGGGGCCAGCGTCCAGAAGGCAGAGAGGGAGGAAAGGACTCATCGCTATCCTCTAGTTTTGCATCAAGACAGTGGGGAGAGGCCCAGAGGTGTATTTCACGACCCTGAATGTCTATCTATGGGCCTCCATCCTAGTGAATGAGGGAAATAATTCATCCCACTAAAAACAAACACATACACTCATACAACAATGGAGCAGATACAATGGGGCCAACCTTCCCTGTGGTACCACCACCACCACGCACGGTCAGGGTGCACAATGGTGGCCATTGTGCATGTGTTTATCTTGTGCCTATTCTGTTTGTGGTTCTCTATGCATTATCTCATCCAGCCTTCAAAACAGGCCTATATGGTAGGTGCTCTTTGCATCCGAGTTGGTGCGGGAGAAGAGGGAGGCAGTCATGACCACTGATCATTACACAATGGGGAGAGGCGCCCTCTGTCCCGGACGTATGTGGGGGATGCTCAGTTGAGCTGTGAACTGGCTTCTGCTCTTTGGGGAGCGGTCTTGTGTCAGTTTTCCAATTCTAAGTGGCATTAAAAGCAATTCCCGATCAATTCAATCTGAGTTTCCTGGCTCTCTTTCTCGCTACCCTCTCAAAGAGGGAGTCACATACTTTTGAGGAACAGATGAAACTTAGGGACCTCCTTTTCAGAAAAACACACACACATTGTGCATCCAACTCCAGGAACTTAGAGGCCACCTTCACCCCAAGGCCCAAAGCCCAGCCACAGGCCCAAGTTAAAAACCCTTGTTTTAAAGCACAGTTTTCCCCAAAGCAGGCCACCATCATTATTGAATCCTAAAATCAATTTAGAGGGGTGTGATTATTTTTAATGAAATAGAATACAACAGAGAAGAGTGTATTAGAGGAAGGACATGTTGAACAGTGTGAAGCTCAGGAAAAAATTCATATCCGACTGTGGATCTGTTCCAGGTCCCAGTGTGCCAAGTCGTATTTCTCTCTCGTGTCTCAGAGCCAGCGGTCTGGAAGCCTCACCCTCTACCTGGACTGCTTCCTCCCAGCTCTGTATTACTCTCGCTGGATGAGAACTGACCAGTGTTTTCAGGACAGGCATCAGCCTCATTTCTGTGGGACTTTCCTTGCAGACCAAGTCACCCCAGCCACTTCCTCAGTGCTTTTCTTTAAAAAAAATAATAATTTTATTTACTTATTTTTGGCTGTGCTAGGTCTTCGTTGCTGTTTTCTCTAGCTGCTGTGAGCAGGGGCTACCCTCTAGTTGTGGTGCACAGGCTTCTCATTGCAGCGGCTTCTCCTGTTGCAGCTTCTGAGCCCCAGGGCTTCAGTAGTTGCAGCACAAGGGCTCCGTAGTTGCGGCTTCTGGACTCTAGAGCACAGGCTCAATAGCTATGGCTTAGCTTAGCAGGGGCTTAGCTGCTCAGGGATTGAACCCACGTCTCCCGCATCGGCCGGCAGATTCGTTACCACTGAGCCACCAGGGAAGCCCTCCCACTGCTTTTCAACCGCGCCTCCCAGGCTGCTCCGCTGACATTTCTGAGGGTGGTCTTAAAGGCATCCTTTATTGAGTGTCAGTTCAGTGCCAGCCTCAAAAGACTCTGCAGTCACTACTTCTAATCTTCACACCGCAGTACAAGGAAGGCATGATCGTTGTTATTGTTTTTATTCCAGGTTTACAAATGAGGGTGGTAAGGCTCAGAGAGGAGCCGAGCTCTGGCTAAGCAGGCCAGCCACGCTGTACAGAGTGGAGTTGCCTGTTGGGTGTCATAATGTGGTAGAAAGATCTCTGGGTTTACAGTCCAAACACCTGCCTGTAAGACCCAACTAAGCCACCTCCTACCTCTTGGGATGGCTGAGCCTTCAGTTTAGTTCTGTTCAGCCGCTCAGTCGTGGCCAACTCTTTACAACCCCATGGTCTGCAGCACGCCAGGCTTCCCTGTCCATCACCAACTCCTGGAGCTTGCTCAAACTCATGTCCATGGAGTCGGTGATGCCGTCCAATCATCTCATCCTCTGTCGTCCCCTTCTCCTCCTGCCTTCAATCTTTTCCAGCATCAGGGTCTTTTCCCATCTCTAAAGTCACAACTAACTTTCGGTTTCAAAGTTGTCTCAGTTAAGATAATGCCTACACACATGCATTAAAATCTGTAAGCTGCAAGCAGATATGTGCTATTTATACAAACTACATCAGCAACACACTAAGGGCCCAGAGAGCAAAGAGCCTGACTACACTCTTTGTCCCTCGTCCCGACCTTAGGCATAGGCATACCCTCCAGCTGCACATTAAATATTTGCCAACTGATGGCTCGTGCTCAGTTGCTAAGGCATGTCTGACTCTTTACAACCCCATTGACCCATGAGGCCTTGCTGTTCATGGGATTTCCCAGGCAAGAATACTGGAGTGGGTGGCCATTTCTTTCTCTAACCATAACTGACGGCTACTTAAGGACAAGAGTGATGCCTATTATTTTCTTTCTCTAGCAAGCTTTACATAAGTGTCTGACCTTCATACACAAAAAGACTCCATGACACTTGTCCTTGAGAGAGAGGAGGCCTCATATAGGAAGCCCAAGCACAGAATGGCTGCCTGAATCCACTGAACAAGGGTGTCCAGGTCCAGGAAGAAGTTGGCTGTGGACACGGGCAGCAGGAATGTTGTTCTCAGCCTTGATTGCCATCACTTTCAGATCACTGCCAGTGCTCCAATTAGAGGAGTGACATCATGACTGTGTTCACGAAGGAGGGGTTGATATGTGAGCCATTTAGCTGAAGTCTCTAATTTTTTGGGGGGGGGTGGCGGCACCTGATGCTTAGAAAGATTTAAGGCACGAGAACAAGGTGACAGAGGATGAGATGGTTGGATGGCATCGTCGACTCAATGGACATGAGTATGAGCAAACTCCAGGAGATAGTGAAGGACGGGGAAGCCTGGCGTGCTGCAGCCCATGGGGTTGCAAAGAGCTGGACATGATTGAGAGACTGAGCAATAATAATGCAGAAGTCTAGATGGCCTTGCCTTCGAGTTAATCAGATCAGCTTAAGCTGCTTGTACTCTGGAAATGAGGTCATCAGATGCAGGGAGCTAAAACTACCTGGAGCTGAGGACAACCCACCTTGTCACCCGCCCTCCTCCAGGGTCTGTGGGCTTAGGCGCTCCTTAAATATTCAATACACTTAAGAGTCAACACGTTTACAGCTGTCAATCAACCAGCTAGGATATTTTGACCGGGAACAGCTAGTAAAACTCTTAAGTCCAGGACTTCCCTGGTGGTCCAGTGGTTAAGAATCCGCCTGCCAATGCAAGGGACACATGTTCCATCCCTGGTCCAGGAAGATTCCATATTCCACAGGGCAACTAAGCCCACGTGCCCTAGAGCCCATGGCCCTCAATAAGAGAAGCCACCACAACAAGAAGCCTGCACACCACAACTAGAGAGAGGCCCCCAATAGCTGAAACTGGAGAAAGCCCGCAAGCAGCAACAAATACCCCACACAGTCAAAAATAAACAAATAGAAATTTTAAAAAGCAACTGTAAGTCTGTCTAAATCCTCAACATACAGAGGATTTCTGTGTCTCCTTGAGGTCAGGGAGAGACATTGGGCTCCCATAACCCATGAGCCTCATCAGCAGCATTTCATATGGTGGGAGCAGGGCGGGCGGTCAGCAGCCCAGCACCCTACCATGCACCCTGCTCCCTCATGCCTCAGTGCTACAACA